GTAGAGGATCCTGAACTATTAAATGACATCCAAATGGGTTATGTCAGACATAAACAACTACATCAGAATAGTCTGAATAATGATTGTAGTGCATAGAGGATCCTGAACTATTAAATGACATCCAAGTGGGTTATGTCAGACATAAACAACTACATCAGAATAGTCTGAATAATGATTGTAGTGTGTAGAGGATCCTGAACTATTAAATTACATCCAAGTGGATTATGTCAGTCAAAAACAAGTACTCTATACAAACATCAAAACCACTACTGCATTTTGAAGTATGAAAGATTTATACATATTTAAAATTGAATTTAAGACCCATACAAATGACCTTCTAATAGAATGTAGCACATTTAATTCAAGACAAATTATTAAAAAATGTGTTACTTTGTTTAAAACCCACAGAGCAATTTCCAAATAGAAATGTTCATGTATTTATTTAAATTCATTATAGTATTTCATGCAAAGAGTAGAATAACGTGTTTGATCACTTATTTATAAATCAGAAATTCATAGGTTTAGAGTTGCTTTTACAAGTTTTCTGTAATTGGATATTTAGCTTCTTAAGTATTGTTTTGGACAAAAGAGCCAATAATTGTCTTTATACTATTAATAAAAAGGGTTTTTAAGCAATTCTTCGGTTGTAGAATTGCTATAAATATTTAATAGTACTTTATCCAAAACTTATTTATAATTATAGGCTAAATAGAGAAACATAATTTTAACTGTTTATTTTAAAGTATTTTATTATTTTCTTGGTGATAATAAACTATGTTTACATTTCAGTTGAAATGTGGAGCATGTGGAGCTATAGGTCACATGCGAACTAACAAAGCCTGCCCATTATACCAGCCTGCACCTCCTGTGCCACCAGTTCAGGTTGCTATGACAGAAGAGCAAGAAGAAGAGGAAGAGAGATGTGGATTAGAGGATGATGATTTGGTGAAAGTCGATGAAACTAAGGTTGTTCTTTCCAAAAAGGTTGTAAAACGAGCTGATGAACTTCGTCGAAAATCCTTGGTGTTAAAGTTTCCAAAAGAGGCAGTTGCAATGAAAAAGAAACGTCGTCCTGTACAGGAACTACATTGTGATTACTTAAAAAAACCTAACAAGTCTGCTAATCGTCAAAGGACAGACCCAGTAGTTACACTTTCCATCATCATAGAAAATATTCTTAATGAAATGAGAGACCTTCCTGATGTGAGTATGAACTGATTTTTGAAAACCTCTATTCACATTAAAATGTTGCTATGTACTGGGATAAATGTATACTTTAGTCTTACCAAAAAATTAAAATTTTATAGGCCCTTTTAGAAAGATGTGATTAAATAAACCATTGTTTTCTTCCTGGATTGCCAGTAATATTAGTATTGGTATCATAAAAATTTGTGATAGTACTAGTGTTGGTATGATTTAATGAATTTCCAATCATTCTAGTGTTCGTATCATGTGATGAATTTCCCATAGTACTAGTGTTGGTATCATGTGATGAATTTCCCATAGTACTAGTGTTGGTATGATTTAATGAATTTCCAATCATTCTAGTGTTTGTATCATGTGATGAATTTCCCATAGTACTAGTGTTCGTATCATGTGATGAATTTCCCATAGTACTAGTGTTGGTATCATGTGATGAATTTCCCATAGTACTAGTGTTGGTATCATGTGATGAATTTCCCATAGTACTGGTGTTGGTATCATGTGATGAATTTCCCATAGTACTAGTGTTGGTATGATTTAATGAATTTCCAGTAGTTCTAGTGTTGGTATCATGTGATGAATTTCCAATAGTACTAGTGTTGGTTCATGTGATTAATTTCCAGTAGTACTGGTGTAGGTATCCTGAAAAATGTCCAATAGTACTAGTCAGTTTGTCTTTCTTTTATTGCAACATTTTATTACAGGCAGCACACTCAATACAATAGGGCATGATTGTACTGGGCATTATTGTGACACTTCTTACAGTAGGGCCATGTTAAATTGTTCTTCAGTGGACTAGTATCGGTTATTATGGTAGCACTCTCAGTACAGTAGGGCATGGTTAAACTGGGCATTGTGGTATCACTTCATATGATAGGGCAATTTTAAACTGTTCTTCAACTATGCAGTGTGCTATTATTTAGATAAATTGAGAGCAACTCTAGCACATTATCTGTTGTGTATAGTATAGAGCTTAATTTTACACAGAATTATGTTTGTTATTTTCAGTAGAGTTTTTACTGGAAGCATATATCTACATCCTGACTGCCTATATAAATATGCAGAGTAACACCTCATAAAACAGCTCTGATCTTTCAAAATTCACAGTGTTTTCTAAGTGTATTTAAATATCATGCACCAAATGCAAAAGATAGAAACAAAAGTGCAGGTTAATGCTTGTGTTGCATTTGAGAATGTAGCATGAGATCTGGAAGAGGATTTTATTTTAATGCTTCTTAACCTTTTGCACACAACAAAGGTGCAATAACTTGACTGTAGGAACTTATGACTTTGCATCTCAAAGCTTGTGTAACCTTTGCTGCAGTCGAATTTTGATCTACTAAGCTACAACTTCATATGATTGGAAGATGATGATGTTCTTTTGGTGCAGGTTTGATATTTTCTGGTTTACAATGTTTAATTCATTTTCTATACCTTTGTCATTAACCTTTTGAGTATTTCATGCACATTATACTTTTTAAAGAGCATGATCTGAAAGACAACCTTGAATAACTTCAACGATATTATCTTGCAGTAGGCCCAAAGCACTTACTTCACATCACTGTTAATTGTTTTTCTGTTCCTCTTTATTTCTGAATTACTTGCATGTCAATGGACTTCTGAATCACCCTCTATGATAAATAATTTTGTAGTCTGTCTACAAAATACCTTTTAAAATGTGTGCAGTTAACTGAAATGAAGAATAAGAAACACGTTTGTGTAAAGAACATGTTTTGTGTGATAAAGATATAGATTTAACATAAAGACAAGAGTGTTATCTCAAAATTTGAACATTAGAATAAATGCAAGTTTTATTTCAAATCAAAAGAGAAATAATTTGTTTTTAATCTCAGACTCAGCCCTTCTGGCTGCCTGTTAGTGCCAAAGTTGTACCAGACTATCATAAGATTGTAATAAAACCAATGGACCTACAGACCATTAGAGAAAAGATACACCAGAGAAAGTACCAGAGTAGAGAAGACTTTCTTCAAGATGTTAACCAGATTGTGGAAAACAGTAGCTTATACAATGGTATGTTTCTTTCTTAATTCTTTGCCAACTAAAACATGGCAGTGTAAACTTCAACATTTATTCAAACAATTTCAGCTAACATTTACAACTAGTTTAGTTTTAACTTTATAACTGTCATATTACTGATATCATATACAACTAGTTTAGTTTGTAATCTTATAACTATCATGTTACTGGTATCATCTGCAACTAGTTTAGTTTGTAATCTTATAACTGTCATGTTACTGGTATCATCTGCAACTAGTTTAGTTTGTAATCTTATAACTATCATGTTACTGGTATCATCTGCAACTAGTTTAGTTTGTAATCTTATAACTGTCATGTTACTGGTATCATCTGCAACTAGTTTAGTTTGTAATCTTATAACTGTCATGTTACTGGTATCATCTGCAACTAGTTTAGTTTGTAATCTTAACTGTCATGTTACTGGTATCATCTGCAACTAGTTTAGTTTGTAATCTTATAACTGTCGTGTTACTGGTATCATCTGCAGCTAGTTTAGTTTGTAATCTTATAACTGTCATGTTACTGGTTTCATCTACAACTAGTTTAGTTTGTAATCTTATAACTATCATGTTACTGGTTTCATCTGCATAAGATTACAAACTAAACTAGTTATACCAGTAACATGACAGTTCCATCTGC